AGCTCAGTTGTCCTGTTGTTTTAAGATGATACTGGTTACTCTGTGAAACAGAAAATATGTTGACCATCAACCCCCTCTGTACATTTGTTTCCCAGGAAAATTGATCTAAGCAATAAAACTTAGTGATTACTAAGAATATAGTATGTGCCCAGATACTAAGGTACAAAATATTAACATCCACTATTTTAGTGAATCCTCACGAAACCATCTAAGGATATGTTAATATTCTCATGTTGCTAATGAGAAACTGAGATGTGGCAAAAGTGAAGAAACTAACAAGATGTCACACACAATCCTTAAGACAGAGCCAAGAATCTAATCCTCTATTGGTGGGTGTTGCATGGAGCACACCATGCCTCCTCCAGCTGGAAAGAAACCTGGGAACCAGAGGAAGCCACCAGTCTTCCTACAGCAAGGGCAGATGTCTGGTTTCCATGAGGACATCAGCATGGGGCACCAGGAGGAATCCAGTGGACTCTGAAATATCACGAAAGGACTATGAGTCAGCAGGTCTAAGGTGGGAATCCATAGGTGAATTGACCAAGACTGATGCCAGGGAGTCTAGCCTGGGAGGCCGCACAATGACCTGTACCCACGTTCCCAGGCTGCACAATAACCTTGCTTAGGGCTGGGAGAGGGACAGGCTTGTCGAGTGGAAGGAAGACACAGAGTCAGTGTGTGGAGGCAGACAGGGCCTGAGGCTGGGAGGCCATGGAGCTCTGCCAGGGAGCCTGAGTTCTCTGCTGAGGGCAGTGAGTGCCTGTAGGTAAAGGAGAGAATCAGGCCATGTGTTCCTGAGTACTTAGTACTTGGTGCAACTGACACACAAGAGGACGGGGGAAGTCATTGTCATCTCCATGCTAACTGTGGGTTAGCCATTTATCCTCTCCATATCTAGAATCAACTGACCATAGAAGAACTGAATCTTCCAAAAATACTAAACTCCAAACATCTAACAGGGATCCAGTCATTATGGTGATAACCAAAGGCAGTAATAGTCAGGAATCTAAGTGGTTATCCCAAAGAACCTAGTACCGTATCAAAATCCACCCCAGGAATTCTAAAAGGATCTCTGGAAAAATTCTTTTGAAGGATTTTGTAGATGTAATGACTAGCTGGTTTAAGAGAGGGAAGTCTTTCACATCTGCATGTAGAATCAGAGGAAGGAAATCTCATTCCATGGAACATTGGATGTGGGGACATGGTCTAAGGCTGGTCTAGGAGGTGGCACTAGCCACAGTGCAAGCAATTAGAGCAGCTTCAAGTAACTCTGTTATGATGGCCACAGGGAAATTGGGACCTCAGCCTACAATGGTCGAAAGATGACTCTGCCTCAGCCACTGGACCTGGAAGAAGACCCTGAGCTTCAGCAAGGAGAGCTGCCCATTGACTGCCCCATTTCAGTCTTCTCAGACTTGAGTTGAGGACCCAGCCTGGACTCCTGAGGGACAGGGTTATGGGAGAAGACTTTGTTTAATAGGTGAAAATTTGCTCATCCAAAGAAAACTAGGCGAGACATCAAGCTGCCACATCTCCACAGGAGGATCATAAAACTAAACCCAGGAAGCAAACATGCCACTTGGCTCATGAATGAGGGGACCCTCTGCTCACTACTCACTCTGCGGCTTGGTCAAGTTCTGCCTTCTTCTGCCACAGAGATCCTCCTGTCCTGCCCACACACAAAATCCAGGCTGAACTCGAGGCCCTCAACTAAAGGACAATGAAGTGTTGGCAGTTGCTGGTAAATGGATGGAAGTGGAGAACATCATGCTGAGAGAAACAAGCCAGACTCAGAAAGTTCAGGATCAAATATCACCCTCCTATGCAGAAGCTAGAGGAAAGGAAGGCCAAAATCAGATTTCATAAAGAGAGAGAGAGAGAAGACCAGTGGAGAGGAAGACAGAGATAGAGAGGTGGGCTGAGAACAGGAGGGGGAGGAAATGCGGGGTGAATGAGGCAATATCACCACTCACTAAATAACCACAGTGAATTGCAGCTCCATGGATACCTGTAACACACCAATGAAAAACAAGTAGATAAATAGACAGAATGAAGATGAGATGGACATTATTACTTAGGTAGATGATGATTACAGGAATGATGTGACCCTGCTGTGAATAAAACCAGAGAATTCAAATATTCTGTTAGATTTGTGTATAATGTATTGACAAGCATTCTGGTGTCCTACAAGTGATTAGAACAGATAAATCAATCATAAACAAGAATTGTAAGGAATATCGTAAACTGTTATGTTTTTTGAAAAGCAAACACTTATGCACATGGAGAATTAATAATTTGATCAGGTAGAGAATTTTAGCCTTTTCCAAAATAAAAATAAAAATTTATAAAAAAGTAAACAGAAGGAAGGCAAGGAGAGAACATCAGAGTTATATGGGAAAGAAAAAGAGGGAAAAGGGAGGCACCGAGGACTGAAATAGAGTGAACTAAACTCCATTCCTTTAAGATTGTGTCCCAGTGAACCCAATATTATGCACACTGTAATGCACCAGTAAACACATTGTCAATTTAAGCAGGGCACTGAAGTATAATGAAGGGAAACCTAGCTCCCTAGAAAATAGCTTAATAATTATATCAGGTATAAAATCATATGATTTTATGATCAGGTTTCAACTGCACCTGGGACAGACCAGGGCCACACCCTGAGGGCACCACAGCACATGGCCTAAGGAGGTGCTCAGGGCAAGGAGAGGAAAGATGATTGACTCTGTCCAACCCACTTTCCAGAAAGGTGTCCCACACTCTAGACCTTTTTAAACTCTGAGCTTTGCCTATTCCTGCCCAATGAGACCTGAGAAAGTCGCTTTCATTTTTTTTAAGTACACTCATTAGAAAAGGCACCTGAAGAATGTGATCTGGAGAACTGCAAACACAGCTGCTCCTCAGTGTTCAGAGGGGAACTGCTCACTGGGGACAGGAGGACAGCCACAGAGATCCACAGGGACTAAAAGAAATGATGGCAGGGTCCTGAGCTGCTCAGGGCCCACACACTGAGTTCCACACTATGGAAAGGGTGTGTCAGAGGACCTGGGCTCTCTGGAAAATCAGCTCAGCCTTGTTGGCCAAAAACAAAACAGGCTCACACTCTCCAGCTTGGAGGGGAATGTCTGGAACTAATGTCCCTGTGCAGAGAACCAGAGCCCTCTCCCAGGGAGCCCCTTGAGGCAAGACCCAGGAGACTGTGAGTGCAGATGGAATCACCCTGAGACATGGAGAGAGTGGACATAGTCTTGTTCCAACCCAGGGAATCTACTTTTAAACACAGGACTTGTACACCTGTTGCCCAGTGTCCCTGACATGGAACAGCAGAGGGAGGGGGAATTCCCTGTGATCACTGAGAGGAAACTAACAAGACATCCTCCCTTGTCCACTCTGTCAAGTGACCACCAGGGGTTCTTCTCTAGGAAAATATTTGGCTGACTCTGAGTGTCACACACTGGAGATGACTAGGACATGTTGACCACACATTATAGATCTACCTCCTGTTAATTCCATACTCACAGCTTCAGGTGAATATGTCCCTTCTCCTCTTGCCTTGGGCAGAGCTACTGGATTTCCAGCTGAATCACATGTTTCTTTTCCCACCAGCTTCTTTTGACCCTTGTGCTCCTATTTCATTTGCTAGGCAAGAAGAGACATCCTGTAACACTGCCCCTGACATTCTTGTATTTCTCCAGGTCACAGCAGACAGAGAAGCTTTTGAAGTAGTTCAATTGCATGCTGTGGCTAGTAGAAAATTCAGAAAATCAATGCTTCTGAGGTGGGACTTGTCACCTTGTCTCCTTATCTTGGATGAAGTCAGCAGGATGTGACTTCCCCCCAGATGCTGAGAAGTAGGCCACTTGAATATCCTTGGACCTGTCCTATCTCAGGGTAACAGGCACTGGAAACCATGATTTCCCACAGCCAGGATTCTGAAGGGACCTCCAGCACACACCACAGGCACCCAGGGCTGTTTCACTATTTCCTCCAAATATAAAGACACTTGATATCCCTGGGCTCACAAGGCAGGCCCCACCCTCCCTCACTCTCCCCACCCAGCACCCACCAGGGCATTTGCATGCTGCTCCCTGGAGAGGGCCTTCCTGCAAGGCTGACATAAAAGCTCAGTTCCAACCTTCCCTTGACTCACCAGGACTCCTCAGCTCAGCTTCTCAAAATGAGGCTCCCTGCTCAGCTCCTGGAGTTGCTGCTGCTCTGGATCCCTGGTGAGGACAGAGGGGATAGGGAAGGAAAAGGGGGAGGGAAGGGAGCCCTAGGCCCCCATTCTGCCATGTGTGCTCTGTATGTGTAATAGATGTGCAGGTCTGTCCTCCAGGATGAGGGAACTGAGGTCGATCAGTGTGAGAGAGTATTCCAGAAGGAGCAAGGGACTGGGTTCTGATGAATATTGTCACATAATAATAAGGGGGTGTTGTAGGTGAATTATACAGAAGTTCTTATAGGTTACAAAATTTGAGTTGTTTTAAACATGAATAATTTTACTGTACAAATCAAAATAACAAAAATATGTTAACCTGAAATACACAATAAAGGAAAATAGCACAAAATCTCCTAAAGTTTTTACATAACCTTGCAATGTTCTGTTGTGTTCCAGGATCCAGTGGAGATACTGTGATGACTCAGACTCCTCTCTGAGTCCCTTACCCATGGACAGCCAGCCTCCATCTCCTGTAGGTCCATTTAGAGACTCCTACACAGTAATGGAATCACATATTTGTATTGGGTTTTGCACAAGCCAAGCCAGGGTCCAAAGGGCCTAATATATCGGGTTTCCAACCAGTTCACTGGGGTCCCAGGCAGGTTCAGTGGCAGTGGGTCAGGGACAGAATTCACACTGAGAATCAGCAGGGTGGAGCCTGAGGATGCTGGGGTGTATTATTGCATGCAACTTACAAAAGCTACTCCCACAGTGGTACAGCCCCAATAAAAAAGTCCCTGCCTGGGTGGCCCAGCTGCCACATGAGCTGCTGGTCTTGGCATTAGCTCAGCAGACTCTCTGCCCTGTGAGAGGAAGAAGCTGGGAACTCAGGGAACAGGTGCAGCTGAGGGCTGTAGACCATGACTGCCTGGGCCACACCCATGATTGTCCCTGTCAGCTGCAGCAGCCTGGCCTGGCATGTGGAGGACAACACAGAGGTGCGAGGAACCTTCTGAATGAGCAGGCAGGATGAGTATGAGCACTGCAGGAGGAGAAGGACCTGGGCCCTGGGCAGGACTCTGACCAAATTAGTGAAGAGATGAAGTGAAATGCTAGAGATCCCTCCAAACTCTGCTCTGTGTGAAATTCACATTCAAACCTAATAAAACAAACAAAGAGGTGAAACAGAAAAATGACTTTGCCGGCAATAACTAATTAAAGGAACTTCATAAAATTGACTTATTAATTTTGCATAAGATATTTATTTCTCTCATTATTACATGTCACAATCCACAACTAAACACTCAAGGTCACTCCAGGTGAACTGGGCTGCACAAAATACCCAGAAAAGAACAGAATAATGCCTTTTTCTTAGGGTCCTCTGGTGGATTATCTGACCATATGGGTCCCTGGAATGAGAGAGAGGAGCAAGTGCTGAACCCTTTTATTGGGAAGAAACCATTTAAATGAGGAAAGGGGTCAGGATTCAGTGGGTCGAGTCTAGCTTTGTGGTGTCTGCTGTCAGCCGATTGACTGACATCTAGGAAGGCCATGCTCAAAAGCAGAGCAAGATAAGGGGACACACAAAGAAAGTTTCCATGGAGCCTTGTATCCCTAATAGGCAAAGGGCAGGATTGCAAAGGAACAGGTGAGTATAATTCAATCCTAGGGGTACACCCCACAAAGAGAAAAGACAAAGTGAGGAGTCATGGCACTACCCCACCAGACACAGTGATCTTTCAGGTCCCAGGGGTGTATCAGGACTGGGAGGCCTGGTAACTCAATGTAGTCCCCACAATTATAGGATTCAGCAGAGGAACAGGGATGACACAGACTCCAGTCACCCTACCTGGAAACCCTCAACAGCCTGCCTTCATGTGGGGAAGGATCAAAGTTGGAAAAATTACTCATAAGTCTCCCAGAGGGTGGAAGGTTGTCCACGAGGCCCTGAGACTCTGGGTCTCTACTGCCTCAGGGATTCCTAAAGATCTTGAGTAGATGCCCCTCAGGTCATCACACAGTTTTCGACTCAGGCCACCAGAGCTGCTGATGCTCTGGATCCTTGGTGAGGACAGAAGGGATGAGAAACATAATGGGGAGGAGGGTGACCTCTGGGGTTCCCATTCTGTCCAAGAGTAAGGAACTGAGGGCATCTGCCCACGTCAGATGCCTGAGCATGAATGCAGGGAGATGGTCACTCAGGAGAGCCATTATGGTCAAGATGAATATTATGATCACCCAAAGGCAGAGCTGGGCTGGGAAGGTCAGCAGGAGATGCAGTGGGAGCCCAGGTTCCCTCCACTGGCCACAGAATCCAGGCAGGATCCTGGCAGAGTCCCCTGGGAATAGGGGAGGTGTTCTCTGCTTTCTGACCAGCCCCTTTCCTCTCCCTGAGCACAGCACATGTTCAGGGAGAATCCCAGCCTTGGGTCCAGGGCTCATCTCCTGTGCTGTCTATCAAGGAGGCTCCATGCCACTGCCCAGGTCAGCTGGGTTCTCTTCCCCACAATTAACCTGAAACATAGATTTGTAATATTTTTTAAAGAAATGTGGGGTAACATTCTTTGCAAGATTATAAATTCATGTATAATTAACAAGTTACCACGAGGAAAAACAATCATATAGAAATGATTAATGCAAGGAAAATCAAGAAATCAGGGAAATTCTTCACTCTACTTTCAAGAGGTTATATTTTGTCTTCATTGTCTGAAATTCAGCCTTCCATGTGGTCTCTGTGTTGGTGGTGTCTTCTTTTGAATCTGCTCCTCCCAATTTAATCTCCCTGCACCAAGGAACACACCAGGCCCACCTGGGTGTTGGCAATGGCCTCCTAACCATGCCCTCTCCTATCTTTGTCCTGCAAAGAGCCTTTTACTTTGTCCTGTCACCCACCAAGTGAGCCTCTGACTGTCTCATAGACACTGGGGGGAATTCTGCAGTGATCATGGCAGTGTGGTCATCTTTATCAGTTTTGACCTGATTCCCTTGAGGGATAGTTGGATCCCAGATTAGTCCTGCTTTTAATTATCTTAGGATCTAAAACAGGCATGTTTTTTAATGGCACCATCAACTGGCCAACATATGGGAATCCCCTGGAGACCCACCAGAGCAGTCCTTCCATGGCTGCCGCTGTGGTTAATACCCCACAACATCTGGGGACAAACCTTGAGCCAGAACCACCAGGGAAGCCTCTCCTGATTCCTCTCTCACAGAAACAGCAGCAGAGTAAAATGCTAATGGTTTAAGCTGTTGGGCTGGGCACTATTTCACACAGGACAACATGGTGCATGCAGAGAAATAGCCAGACTGTCAATGAAGTATTGGTGACTACACTTTCTGTTGGATGTGGTGAGCAACTGTGCTTTACTGGGTGATCAGACACTCTGAACTACTGTGCTTACTATTAGCACCTTGAAAAGGAGGTTAGGTATATATATACTTTATTTTCTGGCAAACTACACAGTTGTTTTTTGTTATCTCTTATACTGTTTTTCTTGGTAAACAGGGATATCTTTTTCTTTTTAAGAAAGAATTTTTTGTAACAGGTAAAAATGACCTTCAATAAGTCACTCACATTCCAGTCTTCATTTCCCACAGCATCAGGTAGAGGTCAAGTGCTCCACGTGGTGCAAACACAATGGGATGGAGCCTCCTCAGTGTGAGTCCCATGTGACTCTGTGTAGGAGTCCCTCCCTGGCCCTCAAGGACACAGCCTGAGCAAGATTCTTTGGTACAAGCTGTGACATGTGGGAAGTGGTGACATCCACCAAACCAGAGTGCTATGAGTGGATAAAAGGAAATCTGAGTGTCAGAAGTTAGAGATCACGGTGTCTTAATTTCCTATTATATTGTCATCTGACCAGTTAAAAGTGTAAAATTAAATTTATGCTTGAAAACTAGATCAGACTCTCCAGGGCTGAGGCTCTGGTGAGTTTAGTTGCAGGTGCATGTCACCCTCTGATGGGTAAGAAGTGGAACATCCTAACAGAGAATTCAGTGAGAGGAACCAGATGTGAGCCACACCTGGTCTACAGGGTCCTGTGCCCTCTGCTCTCCACACTGATGTCCTGCAGCTCCAGGAAGACAGCTCAGCCACCTGTCCACCTCATGACACAGACACTCACACTCAGAGAGAAGCCCAGAAACCAGCTGTCACTCCTGGGAGTCCGGGAAGAGACCAGAGCAGAAATGTCCACCCATGTCACTCACTGAGGTCAGGAAGAGCTGAGGTCTAAACCAGGTGTCAAGGGACAATTTTGTGTCCATCCTCTTCTCCAGTCCTTCTTCTCCAAAAAGCAGGAGACAAGAGGCCCAGCATGAAAGAAGTATTTTAAATACTCTGAATATATCTCTTCAGATGCTTTAAGATGAGGCTGCTGGTTTCTTTATCTCAGCTCAGTGGGATGTGAATGAATAAAATCCTCTCTAGTTATTGGGAACCTGAGGGCTGTGCTGAGGGGATTTCTCACTAGATCCCAGGTCTCTGACTCTCTGTTTCTCAATAATTAAGGCTACATGTCAGATTCTCTTCCTCCTTCCTCTCCCCACCCCATTGTCATGGTCCTTCTCTAGGATACTTGCAGGGCAGGGCCAGATTTTCTCTCCTCTCTTGATTTGTCTAATTGCTCAATATATAGGTAGGACGGACCCATGAAATTTAAGTCCAGCCACATTCCTGGAGTTCCAGTTATAAGCCAAGAGCTGGGTGGAGGTCAGTGATAGTGTGTTGCCTGGGATGCATGAGGCCCTGGATTTCATGCCAAGCACTGACAAAGTAAAAGAAAGAAAGACAGGCCAAAGTAGTGACCACACACACCATCCACACTCCTGCCTTGGCATGCATTCAAAGCATTCCAGGCTGTTAAAGAACACTTTTATTCTGACATCTATAAATCCATCTTGCTACAAAGAAAATTTTATGGTTGTATTAATTCTTCCTTCAGACAGAAATTCTATAGCTGAAAAAGATACTGACTCAAATGAGAAAATGCTATAGAGAGCTCAAAAGCAGACTCCACCTTGCAGAAGAAAGGACCTGTGAATTAGAGTGTGTGAAACTCTCCCCTCAAAGAGAATACAGAAAAAGAAACAAATAAAGTGGACAAAACATACTGGATGTATGGTACAGGTTCAAAAAAACCAAGAAATGCTATTTATGTATTCCATAAAAATAGGAGACATTTAATGAGGAAAAAATTGTTAAAAGTAATAATTCTTGAAAATTTCCCAGATGATAGGAGGAATATGGACATTCAGGTAAACTATGCTTGAAAGTCCCAAATAGGACCAACCTAAAGATGGTCACACTAAAGTATAATATATACAAATTATGGAAATTTACAGCAGAGATAGTTTTGAAAGCCACAAGAGAAAAGCAGCTCACACATCCAAGGGAACTTCCATGTGGCTATCAGAGATTTATCAGGAGGACAAAAAGAGAATAATGTCTGCAATATGCTAAGGGAAAGACTCTAAAGCAAGAATAACCAGTCATTTACCCCACTTTTTCTCATGCAATTTGTAAGCTAACTTTAAATAATTATCAAATTTTTGCCAGTTTTTGATACTCAAAGAATAAAATCATGGGTAATGAGCTCTAGTGTATCTAGCTCTTGCGTACTCTTGATGGGTTCTTGAAGGCAGTAAATGTTTTCCCTGGTGTATAGTATTTCATTGCATGCACT